AGCATTCACATTCATTTGTGGTAAAAATTCAGTTGTGCTGCTTTCCGATGTTTATTGATGTAGCTGCAAATGCAATATAAATGCTTCGACGTGGGGTAACAGTTAGCAAAAGGAAAAACGGTATCGACAATCGAAGATCGAATTTCAGTTGCGGCTGGCTTATGTTTACCTACTGCTATTACCATTTAGCAAGGCATGAATCAGCTTTTCCCTGTCTCATCCCTATATACCTTGAGCAGCATCGCCAGTATCCTACGTTGGATGACAAAAACACAGAGCAGCTTCGAGAAAACCTGCACAAACCACTCCCCCATACTTACTATCCAGGCTCTATTACCTGCAAACGACGGTTACATCTATTTTCAACTTTATATGTTTTGATATGGTTATAATGTCGTGTATATACCTTTTTTCTTGTACAAGAGATATCTCCATTGCATTGGTGACGCCAGGTGACAGTGTCATTGTGAAAATGGTGGACTTGTTCCAAGATGTTTAGGAAGCTTGGAGGCGAAAGAAATAACTCTGAAAAATTAGAAAAAGTATATGAATAGATTTCAAAACGGTCATCATTTTTGCATTAGTTTCATCTAATATATATATATATATATAGAAAGAGAGATAAAGATAGTTTTAAGTTTATGCATTCATATTATAGATACAATTGCTCTGTTTATAATAAACAGTATTAATAACATTTACCGGCCTGAATGTCCGAGAAATTTTCATAGAAAATATTCGTCCTCCGACAGGAATCGAACCTGTATCCTATACGGAACCGTCATATAGCCTGACGTGCCTTTAACCGATATAGCCACAGAGGGGCGTTCGTTTAGCAAGGTTGATATTACTGTCTTTAAACTACAATCTCCCATGAATCTCTCACGCACATTCATATCTGCTCAAAGCGTATCCAAATGTAAACAAATGACGTCACACATTATGAAATGGACAGAGTCCGACAATTATTTTTAAGACATTTTTATGTTTATACATTCTTTTTATAGATACAAATATTAAAGTAAATGTTCTGTTTATAATAAATAGTATTAAACAACATTTACCGGCCTGAACAGAGCATTTATATATATATATATATATATATATATATATATATATATATATAAAATGGCTGGAAACTCGCATTCGTGGATGCCTGTCGACTAGGACGGATAGCCAATCCCTGTTGCAGACGCCTGCTCAGTCACATTTTTGTTTGTTCAACATCCAAAGAACATAGCTGTGGTTTATACAGAAACTATGCTGAGGGAAGCGTAGTTACATATGCTGGAAGAGAGCGCACTTTCGAGCGTGATGAACAGTCTGAACAATGCCGGTACGCTCAAACCCTTGGCCACGATGACTTGTGACTTCGTGCTAGTACAACCACCGACGGCTAACCAAGAGATCCGTCGACCCAATTTTACGCACAAACTTGTGTCAACGAATGGTAATATTTTCTGGTACTTACCAAAGATAACACACGGCCGCTACCCAGACCGATAACACCAAGATATCACACACACTTATATATATATATATATATATATATATATATATATATATATATATATGATAGTTGTTATTATATATATATATATATATATATGTAGGTGTACATAAAGTCTCTTTACAATTTCAAAAGTTTATTACGAAAAAAATGAACAAATATGTGAAAATCATTGCATAATGAATTACAATAATGAAAATCCTTACATACTGAAGTTATTTTTCAACTAATTTGATAAACGCCTATATGAGAAACATTAGTTGCATAAAGTTCAGAAGATTAAGCTTCACAGTAAAGCAGGAATCCAGAAGAAAGATCCACAAGCTAGATATATAGGAGAGGAAACCGTTAGCATATATATATATGTACAGCCTGCATATATATATATATATATATATATATATATATATATATATATATATATATATATATAATATATGCTTTGTTATATATGTTTGTTATTGTGTTGTCTGTAGATCATATACCAACGGATCTATTACCTGAGATTGATATTCTTTGGTTTTTATTATAATTTCATTTAGATTTCTTAACTAGTTTCGGCCAACATGGCCATCATCAGGAGAAAAATAATTTTCTGCTTGCTGGCAGCAGTGAACTACAGAAATGAATGTCTTGATTGCGAAAATTAAGTTTTGTCTGTAGTTTTCATTTGGTTTTTTTTTGGGTTTTTTTTTAACATGAATTTTGATCATTCCTTGTGTTGGTCAAACAGTCTCTTTTAAGTTGTTATTTAAGATAAGAGCTGGATGGATTCATGCTGCTCTGAATTCCCTAGGTCATTTTGATAGTTTTATTGGTTCCTGGAAAGGGGATGTGTCTCTGTTGAGTGTCTATGTGTTATTTGGTTCTTTTGAGAGTGAGTGAGTATGACGTGTGTAAGTGTGTATATTCGGGTGGGTGGGTGTGTAATTGTGAGGCCTCAACACCTCCGTAATCATGTCTGTCTTGTGTGGGTCAAAAATGTGGGTAGGTTTTGACGTAATAGCTGTTTTCGTGGATTTTTACGTGATTTTTTGCGAAGTAATTTTTGTACGATAACAATTTTTTTGAAGGGCAACTAAATTTTAAATATTAATGCAATACTTAAATGCAACGATCAATTTTGAGTTCTTCTGTAGTTAATCGTTGCTTATCGCACCTCCTTACCTATTGTGATGAAGGCCCAATCAACGGCTTGATAAAGTGGCCTTCAAACTAGCATATATATATATATATATATATAATTGAAACATTGAAGTCAACACTTAGAGGCGACAGTCTGTTTCATGCTAGACGCAATCGTCACGCCATTACGTGGCCTAACGATTGCGTGTAGCAAGAAACAGACTGACGCCTCTAAGTGTTGACTTCAATGTTCAATTTTATATTTACACACGCCTATTTCTGATATTGAGTACTTTATCCCATAAATATAACACACCTTAAGAGTGTATATATATATATATATATATATATATATATATATATATATATGTGTGTGTGTGTGTGTGTGTGTGTGTGTGTGTGTGTGTGTGTGTGTGTAATGAAAAACAAACACTTAAAATACCCTCGGTGATATTTATTTCATTGAAGTCGATAAAAAACGGAATCAAATCTTCAGATCAGTAAATTAAATGTAAATGGAAAAATCCACTCCATGTTTAAAATTAAGAATATTGATTTCATATTGAGAGAGTGGGAGAAAGAAAGATGTAAATTCTATATCATATAGGAAGGATTGGGGAGTGAAATGGAGTGTATACATGAAGTGTCACTGAAACCAAACGAGTTCGTCTCAGTTGTATTAACTGACATTTGGACCCGTGGTCACCTAATTTTAACATCCGGATTGTGGACATAAATCCTTGCATGAAGAATAGCAATAACAATACATTAAAAATAAAGGAAAATAAAGGGTAAATCAGATTTGAAAAAAAAGATTGTTAGTGTAAAATCGAAATTTTTTCTAGATCCGTCTTCGGTCAAGATTCTGACACATATGTATTCAACTTAAAAAGAAAAACACCTGTTATAATTTATGCTAAAAATAGTGGTTGGTTAAGAACATTGAAAAATATTCAAAAAATAGTTAGAACCTAGCTAAATATTTCAATCTAAACGTAAGAAAGATCTATTCAATATATATATATATATATATATATATATATATATATATATATATATATATATATATATATATATATATATATATACAGGGTATCCATGAAGTTCGTGTGCACTTTGAAAAATTTATAACTTTATTTGTAATTGCGATAGAAATAATTTGTAAAAAGGATTAGAAAGAAGTAAATCTATATTTTTTAAAGGTTTTAATGAAATTTTATTTAAGTTTTCACATGTCCTCCATCATTAGCAATACAAAGGGTAATACGATTTTGCAGTTCACGGAAAACATTTGCCAACTGATTTACAGTAATGCCTGAAATCACATTAGTTATTTTAGCTTTCAAATCTTCTAATGAACTAGGTTTGGTTGCATACACAATTGTTTCACGTGTCCCGATAAAAAAATCTAATGGAGTCAAATCTGGCGAACGTGGAGGCCACATTAACAGATCACGGGGTGGAGGGTGAAGGATCCAATTTTGATCGGTGCTGGTTTCTGAAGTTCCGCAGTAGAGATACGAGTCCTGAATATCAAGGTGGTAAAGCACATTCATCTGATATTGACAATGAACATATAGAATACCAGTCAAACAAAAGCTATGTCAAAGAGTCAGAGTATCAATGATGTTAGAGAAATATCTCAGATAATAGGTGCCAGCATTTCAAGAATATCGGAATATGTCTCAAGAAAATTGGTAAGGTAAAGAAACTCGATAAATCGGTTCCACATGAAATCAGTGAAAGTCAAAGAGTTCGACGTTTTGAAGTGTGTTCTATACTGCATCTGTGAATGGCCGATTTTTTGATCGAATAGTGATTTGTGGTGAGATGGATCCTTTATAGCAATCGTAAACATGTATGTATAAGAATTCTGAATCACCATCACGAGAACGCGACAGACAACGGTCAGAATGCACACCTGAAGATTGCTTAAACTTCATGAAACTCCGACGCATGTTATCGAAGTTGGATATTATGCATATTCACTATAGCTCTGTTTCATAACAGTGAGCACTCTTTTTATAACACCTTGGGAATAAATATACTTACGTACGTACTAGTATTTGTGCGTGTTGTAAATTTTTTATCCTATCCATTTGTGTATATATATATGTATATATTTACACACACTCTATCTCTGATATTGAGCACTTTATTCCATATATAAGAGTATATTTCTTCATATATATATATATATATATGTATGTATATATGTATGTATTAGAGTTGAATTGGATTAGATTCGAGAAATATTTTGATATATTTTCTGTTTATACGTCATGTTTATGAATATAACTCATTTGAGTAAATGCTCGGTGTTTAATTAAACAGTGTTAATTACATTTACCGGTCTAGCCCTAACCTTGCGAGCGAAAGAGAGAACGAGAGAGAGAGAGAGAGAGTTGTATATACAGAGAAAACAATAAGAGATTAAAGAAGAGTATCGAGCATCTGGTAAAATCACTCCCCCATAACAATCTGTAAAGACAATAAAATATTTTATGCCATAATAATTTACTCTTGTAAAGACGACCAGTACAAGTAACGTAAGTTAACATGAGTGAAAGGCATTTCTTTGTGAGACAATCAGTTATGCGCCATGCTTGATACAGGCGATCATGTATCTTTCGATAGATGACTGACGAGGTAGATTTTTTTTCCTGCAGTAGGTTGCCATTTTTTTTCTGCGGTAGACCAGTTGCCGGTCTGTCCTGCTATTTAGCCATAACTGAGGGGAGAAGAAGAGGATTCATACTATTCCGAAAGGTATTAGCACTTAAGTGAATGTAATAGATTCGACTGGAATTCGAACTCGGCTCTCCGATTCCTCAATCCGAGCCGCTATCCATTACTCCACCGTGTCTCCTTGAAGCACAGTGGAGTAATGGATAACGGCTCGGATTGAGGAACATTTAAACTTGATTTCAATAAGAAAATATTCTTCCCGAACATGGAACGTGACATGTTTCCATAAACTCTGAAAAGAAAATGTTCTCTTGTAAAATTTAATAGAAAATGATCCAATATTTTATTTTTGATTTCATTTGATTTTTTGATTTTTATTTTATTTTTTATTGTATTTGATTTTTTTTAACAGCTGCTTGAGAGAGCTGGACATTTTGATTGGGCTGTTTTTCTTGGAGGCTGTCACTTACACAGCGATGGTTCAACCCAAGCCTTAGCTTATAACGTTAATTTCACGCTAATGCCCTTGAAAAACGAACTAATCCGTTTCTTCCAACACAAATGCGAGAGAAGAATAAAAACACATGGTTCACAATTCGGAACGAGGGCGTGGTTAATCCTGAACTTCCTGGCATAACCTGGGTAATTAATTTTTCCAATGCGAACAGTTGATTTCAGAGTGTTTAGTTTGCTTTGTTTACCAACATAGAACACCGACGATTGTATCGTCTTCCTGTTACGTTGCGGTGCAGTAAAAAAAAGAACATTACATTAAAAAAAAAAATCAGATCATTTTTAAAGAATTGAGAACCATATTTGTACAACGGAAGTTAATAATTAAATAAATGTCTGAATAAATAAAAATTGAAATTGTTTTTCTGACACGAACTTTCTCAAATTTTCAAAAAAATCTGTCAATAAAATTCTTGTTTTATGTTATAAACACGGATAGCGGAGTAAGGATAGAATTTATCTCAGGAATAATAGTCTGTGATACGAGATGGTGAATCAATACGCTCAGGTGATTCACCTGTTAAAAGAATGGTCCAATTTATTAATAAATATTTTAGGGATAGGATAGGATAGTGGACGCGTACGATTTTCCTTTGGGTTTTTTCTCAGAATTCTTCTGTCGAAGAAATAAGAAACTGTTGTGGTGTCCTCCCTCTAGAGAGTCTATATTGGACTCTTCCGCCTACTATAAGGTTAGTAGGAGAGAAGGCCTTGTGGAAACAATTGCATAGGTTGTCCAACTGTCAAACTCTCTGCTTCGAGCAGAAAGGAACCGGGACGAGGCTTTGCCGCAGGGCAAAGTTCCCTCCGGGGAGGTAGATAGACCCTAAACCCGTTTATGCGGGTTCTAAGGGAATATTTTTGGCCGAGCCTACGTGCTCAGAGTACCCACAATAAATCGGCCTTGTGCCACCATACACCCTCGTGGGGGGTGCTGTTAAATATTAACAGTCGCTCAGAGTGTTCATCTGTCGAACTCTTTGCTTCGGCAGAGAGAAACCCGGACGAGGTTTTGCCGAAGGACAAAGTTTCGTCCGGGGAGGTAGACAGTCCCTGAACCCGTTTATACGGGTTCTAAGGGAATATTTTTGGTCGAGCCTACAGGCTTGGAGAACCCACGGTAAACTCGAACTTGTGCCACATACATCCCTCGTAGCGGGGGGGGGGCTGTTAAACATGAACAGTTGAATAGATTGAACGCTGGGTCAACCGACACAAACTCACTAGTCGTCACTGTTCTGTTTTTAAACACAATTCTCTGGGATTTTCTCTCATACATTCTTATCTGCTCAATGCGTATGAACGTATGAGAGAAAATCATGGAGAATTGTTGTTTAAAAACAATAAAATCGACCTTGATAACCGAACGCTCCTCTGTGGCCCAAACAGCTAAGGCACGTCCGGCTATATGACCGTTCCGTGTAGGATACAGGTTCGATTCCTGTCGGAGGACGCATATTTTCTATGAAAATTTCTCGAACATTCAGGCAATCGGTAAATGTTGTTAATACTGTTTATTATAAACGGAGCATTTACTTAAATATTTGTATCTATAAAAGAACGTATATATATATATATATATATATATATATATATATATATATATATGGCATTTGCCTCCTATCGTAACTGTTCGAGTTTCAATTCTCGGTAGTGGATGCGTACTGCTGATGAGTACCAAATATAGGACGAAAACGGCCGTCCAGTGCTTTCTGCATTCTGTTGAGGTTTCTTCTCGATTCGATGAATTACTTAATTATGATTATTCCTAATTATTTCTATCTATCTATCTATCTATCTATATATATATATATATATATGTCTGTCTGTGTGTGTGTGTGTGTGTGTGTGTGTGTGTGTGTGTGTGTGTGTGTGTGTGTGTATACCAAGTGTACAAAATGTTTAATATCTAAAAAAACGGCTAAAATAATTGAGTTTCTTCTAACTGGATTTTCAAACGTTTAGCCATCTTGATACCATTTGTCGTAAGAATCACTGAAAATCATCCCTTTGAGATATTCAGCAGATTAAAATCGTTTTGTATCAGACCCACTGTCTTCTCAACTGAGCAATAGTGAGAGGAAAACGATCATTCAGGCCTTCAGTAATGGTACAAACATTCATACTCTGGCTTCCATCTTCAAGTCTATTCAAGAATCATCAAGAGAATGGTGAATAAGTCTAAAAAAGAAGGGACTGTAGAGATGAAAATTGGATCAGGAGGTCACAATAGCAACAGGGGTCATCATTTCAGCTTAGGGAGTTTCAACTACGACAGTCCAAAAAGCAGTGAAAAAAGACTGGAAAATGAAGTCGTACGTGAAACGTGTAAGGCACCTTGTTACTCCAGGACAGAAAGTTAGGAGTCTAGAGAGGGCGAAGATCACCCTGTATAAGTTGGAAATGATGCTGGAATATATATATATATATATATATATATATATATATATATACTTGAACTTTATTTTAACCCTTCATGAGCTTCCAATCCTTAGTTATGATGGATTTCATCACAATTGTTCTCTTAAGCTTGTAGAGTAATTATACATTGTTATTTCTCAAAGGAGAGTTAAATAGTGTAATAAAAACCTCGGTGAATTCCAGTAATATATCTTTAATCATTACTAACATGCAACAGTTCAGAGCTTAATCTAATAATTGGACAATTTTGCTGTTACACGATTTGGACAATTCTTGCACTTACTCCTAGTATATATATTGTTGTGGTACGATACACCTAATTTACATAAGTGGAGTACCGACCATATAAATATGGGTTAGTACCGGGAAGACGGGGGAAGGAAGAAGAGATCGAATCGAGAGACTCTGCCCGACTGCGATTTACTCAACCCATTCTGCAGGAACAGTCTTCCCAAGAATATACCAAAACTAACTGTAAATATTGTGTACCTTTTCCTTGTTTCAATACATTTTGTTTACGTACATTTTGTGTTGTATTATTATTATTCCATGCTTATCCAAGTTTCAACATATATATATATATATATATATATATAATAAATATGAATGTCAATGTGTCACTGTGTCACACTTTTTCAACTTTAGAGAATACCATTTTTATAATCATGCCGACACCGTGAGCAAAATAAAAAACATTCGTAACCGGAGCGGCAATCACGAAGTTTTGCATTCCCAAGTTTTCACTACTGAAAAGTAAGGACCTACGTACATCAAATCGTCTTTAAATTAAGCGGCGGCAGAAGAATTATCGTTGAACTTTTTAAAAGGTAAGCTTAAATATTAATGCAATACTTAAATGCAGTGATCAATTTTGAGCTCTTCTGTAGTTTATTGTTCCTTATCGTGTCTATTCCTCCATACCTATTGTGATGAAAGCCTCCACCCCCCAATCAAGAGCCCTCCACAGGAACTAGCTTAAATATCGACCGAATGTGTGGCTTTTAAGCTACTAGTTAATAAATCACTTTCATAAAAAGTAAACGCTTGAACCTTCGAGTAACGCGAGTAATTATGTAAATATTCTATTCGATTGAAGATTAAATTAAATATTTTAACATAAGCATCTACGAACGGTTATTGAATTATTTTTTAACTATTTCTTGCTCCTATCACTATTAATATCTTATCATAATTAAACTTTACGAAAACATTTATTCTTCACAATAAAACTTAAAAAAAGAAACATACATTAAAAATTATCGCCATTAATAATAAACTGCTTTCATAAAAAATTTTATGTGATTTTTTGCCACAAATTTTTGTACAATAATTTTTTTTTTAACTTGGAAATAAATTTGGGAATAATCAAAAATTAATTGAGAAATCCAGCAAAAGTCACCCATGAAAATGAAGTAATTGTTTGGATTGAAAGTAAGGACCGATGTACATCAAACTGCTTTTAAATTAAGTGGTGGCAGAAAAGTTATCATTGAACTTTTTAAAGTTAAGCTTAAATATTAATGAAATGCTTAAATGCAGGGATCAATTTTGAGTAGTTTACTGTTGTCTATCGCATCTACTCTTCCATACCTATTGTGATGAAGGCCCAAACAAGAACCTTTTGCAGGAGCTAGCTTAAATGCCACCCAATAGGACATCTTGAAGCTAGTATATATATATATATATATATATATATATATATATATATATATATATATATATATATAAAAATTAATTATTATTAAGTTTTTATATTTTTATTTTAGTTTTTTAATTTCAACCTAATAGATTAAATGTAATATTTTCAAGAAGCGAGATACTGAATTTAAACTGATTGGAATTTGGTTTTTTTTTTTTTTTAATCAGTAAATATGGTAAATCCATTTATATTGACAAATCTGACAACACAATGTAATTCTCTTTATTAAAATATCTCTCAAAAATAAAAATATAGTTTTTAGAAAATTTATTTGAGGAAGATTAGCGGATTTAATTTAAAGCTGATTTGAAGCATTATTTTTAGTTTAAAATATCTCGGACAAGAATTTTTAACACAGAGGTTGTTGTTTTTATGAGATGTTAACAACTCTCAAGTTTGGGAATTTTTCTAAGGTAGACAATTACAATTGATTCAGATCAAACTTTCTGTAACTGGGGGTTCTGTTCAATCAACTAAATTTCAGAATTTAAATTCCCCAAGGACTTGTCTTTATATAATATAAACATCAAATGCTACAAAAAAGCATTTCTCAGAATTTCATTAGATTAGATAAGTGGGAGTTAACAGATGTAGAAAAAAAATTAACAGAGGTTTCTAAAAATGAAACTTATAAAAAATAATTTAATTCATTTGTGAATAAGTCCTGAAAATTTCATTAAAATCTGACAATTATCTGATTTTTGCAAAAATTTCCAAATCAGTATGTTTTTTGCACCACGAAAAGACACTAAAATTCCCCATATTAGTTTATGGTACCACATCGATGACAAAAAAAACACGATTTTAACCAAAATTTTGAAGGATTAAAAAAGGATTAAAAAAAATATTATTATAACAAAAAATCCTTTGAGCTTTCCTTTTAATAATAACGATTTTAAAAAAAAATATTAAGTCTGTAACTGATCAATTTTGAGTTCTTCTGCAGTTTATTGATGCCTATCGCATCTACTCCTCCCTACCTGTTGTGATGAAGGTCCAATCAAGAGCTCTCCGCAGGCGGCTTTTAAATTAGTATATATATATATATATAGATATTCTACTATTCCAAACGTTTTGTGGATAATTATATATTATATATTTAATTATGTCTTCAAGTCTCACGAAACTATTTGAGAGAATATGCTTTCCGGTTATCCTACAATGGGTGTGTGCGCAGGTTCGGTTCCTGGCGGAGAGAAAAATTATTCTTTATTCAGTCTTTCGAATTCGGCAGATGTGATTCACGCCAAAGAATAAGGCGTCTTTCCAAAAATATACGTATCTCCAAATTACAGTTGGCGTGGCTGCGAATAATGTCGGATAAAAATCCTTTTGATTCTTTATATATCGTCTTTATATCAGCCGCTACTCCAGCTGTGAGAAATCGGAGATCCGACTTCGAATTCCGGCGAGTTTCGCTACATTCACTTACGTGCAGATAGCCCTGTGAAATGTAGGAATACATCTCTAAACCCTCTCAGCCTTAGGTTGAATAGCAGTACAGACTGGGTCCTATAGCCTTGGTTGGCAACCAGAAAGAAACGACAACCGACAGCGGGAAAAGTATTAAAAGTTTTACTCGCTTGAAAATAGCAAAAATGAAACAAAATGTGATAGATAGATAGGTAGATATGAAGGATAATAATAATAATAATAATAATAATAGATAGATAGATAGATAGATAGATAGATAGATAGATAGATAGATAGATAGATAGAAACACAGACAGATAATGAAAAGATCTTGATAGATAGATAGATAGATAGATAGATAGATAGATAGATAGATACAAATAATGAAAGATAATGAAAAGATAGATAGATAGATAGATAGATAGATAGATAGATAGATAGATAGAAACACAGACAGATAATGAAAAGATCATGATAGATAGATAGATAGATAGATAGATAGATAGATAGATAGAAACACAGACAATTAATGAAAAGATCATGATAGATAGATAGATAGATAGATAGATAGATAGAGAGATAGAGAGATAGATAGATAGATCAACATTTTGTGAGCGTAATTTTATTATATAAACGTGCAAA